CGTGATGATTGCACTGACTGATGGAATTGAGGGATAAGAGACTGATGATGATGAGAGAGAGAGAGAGAGAGAGAGAGAGAGAGAGAGAGAGAGAGAGAGAGAGAGAGAGAGAGAGAGAGAGAGAGATGTTGCAGGCTGCTGACGACCACATTTCGGACCACGTACAAACAAGGTTGACTTTCGGTGTCCGACGACGGTGCACATTTCGATAAAATGCTTGGGGGGCCCTCGTACAAACAAGGTTGGCTACTGCGGGCCGAAACTTGTCGAACACGTCGGTGTCCGACACAATTTGGCACGCAGTAGCCAACCTTCCTTTTCTTTGTCCCTGAGATTGCTGTGTCCCGTTCTATATAAAACGATTTGGCGTGAGGAGCCGAGGTCCGCGTCACCCTGCCCTGCAACGAACAGTTCTCACCACCAGAACGAGTAAATTTTTGGACTTATTCTCTCACTTGTACGGAGCAGAGGTGGGAGACCGTTGATTAAATGCTGGGCTGCCCTCGTACAAACAAGGTTGACTAGTGCGGACCGCAAGTTGTCCAACAACGCAGGGTCCGTCGCATTTTGGCACGCAGTAGCCAACCTTCCTTTTCTGTGCCCCTAAGATCACTGTGTCCCATTCTATATAAGGCGATTTGGCGTGGGGAGCTTCATTTTACGTCGCCCTGCCCTGCAACAAACAAGTTTCACCACAGCTTGACAAAACACATTGTTGTGTCATGTTACTATTAGAGAGTCAGCCGCACACACCACTCAATCGCACAAAGATGAGGAATACAAATGTTTGTACAATTGTGTATCATAAATAACAGAAGTTGTGTAGTTATCAGACTGTATGGAACATACGGCTCACAATTCTCATGCGCTGCACGTGCGTGCAAGCACTCGCGCTCTCTCTCTCTCTTCTGCAAAACTGGAGGTCTTCATCTCTCTCTTTCTCTCTCTCTCTCTCTCTCTCCGACTGTCCCCTTCCATTTTGCATTTCCTGATTCGAAACGTCTACAAAAAGAACCTTCCGTTCCACCGTTTGGTCATTGCCCAGCATCCTCCCTTCCATGTCGAAATGTAGCCAAATTGTCCCTAATTTTTCAGGGTGCGACGCACAGACTGTCGGTGCGCCCCCCCCCGCCGCCGGCTGGTGTACTTTGAGGGAGAATGTATTCGACGTCGTAATCGTCATCCGTTATTGTGGTGCTTGGGAGGCCAGGCCTGTCGACAGACGGCGTGCCACAGCGAAAAAGGGTTGCTTCCTTCTCAGCCACGGATACGGATTTGTCCAGCTTGAAGACGGAAAAACTCATTACCGTGTCGCGCGCTCGTAGAGATGAGACGATTGCCTGCTTTATAGATACCAATTTTTCTATCTGCTTTGCAGCTCGTGTCGTCTTCGTTGTCTGTTCTATCTCACACTGAATGACCATCTCCGCAAAAGCGAGTTGCTGCAGGGTGACGCCGAGGTTTCGTCCTTCCTTCCTCATCTGGAAAACTTTTAAGAGTGCCGTCTTGAAGGCGGGGGCGCCCCACGGATCGTCGCCGCTCCGTCTCCATGTCTTGTTCTCTTTCATCTCGGCGCGCATCTTGTTGCGAGCGGGGAGGTGGTGGTCCGATTGCTGCGATCCGACCAGCGGAATCCCTTTTTCTGCCCAGAACCAATGCTTCAGCTGCCAGGTAATCTCTCCGCGGATCGTCGTCATAATTCTGTTGCATTCCCCTATGACAGCTCGAATCCCGCGCTCTGCAATGTGAGACCGCAACCCTTCCTCTGCTGTCCCCCCTGCCAGTTTGGCCGTCACTTGCACCGCCGCGAAAAACGTGTCCTCTGTAGGGTACAAAGTTGCGTCGTTCACCGAAGAGAACGCAAAGGCTTTGGCGACAGAACGCAACAGCTTGCCCTTCATTTTCTTCGCTAATACAGCGCCCTCCTTGTTGAGTCCTTGCGCGGATATGCCCCTTGCGCGCGCTTTCGTTCCTGACGTTGCGATGGGCAGGGAAACACAAGACACAACGCACAGGATAGTGTTAGCAACTCGGCGCCTTGTTCTGAATACAACACTTGGTAATTGGAAGATTCGGCTATCAACAGTGCATTCACTAAAACCCTTTTCCGTGCATGAAGGCTTGCGCCCCGTGGGGGCACGGGATTAGCTGCTCGTGAGTGGGAGGGGAGCGAGTGCGACGCGGGTTTTTTACCTTTTTCAGTGGCGCTCACGTGCTGCACGATTTGTCTGTCACCGACAGGCTCCTCGGTGTCGCTGCCATTGCGTGCATGCCGTTCTCCTTCGCTGCGCAGCGTCCTCGAAGGAGATGGCGAATCATCTCCTTCCGAAGCGGCGCTCCGGTCTTCGCCGGTACTCTGGCTAGCCGATTTGCCGTCGCTGTTGTCTTCCTCATCGGTGTCTTGCGACTGCCCGCGGGAAGGACCGCTTTTGTCTCCCTCGTTTCTCCCCTCCTCATCCTCCACACCGTCTAACTTCTCTGGCGTGGAACGGTCGTGTTCCTCCTCTTCTTCCGCTTAGGGTGTGCTGTGCCTGTCGTCAGACCGTCTAAGATCGATTGTCTCCACTGGTCTCTCGTCTTTGTAGGATATTCTCTTCTTTGAACTTCGGTGAGTAGTCGCGCTTCTATCATCCCGCGATTTTTTTTCTGGGGCCCTCGGCGGACGGTTCTCGGCGCCTCTTCCGCGCTTTTCCCCGACAGGGGTCGAGGGGGGCGACTCGTTACGTTCTTTCAGCGTTGAAATGTCTCGCTCACTCGAAGGGACTGTAATTTTCGACCCGGATTTACGCCTGCGCCTGTGCACCGTTTTCGCGGAGAGGCCGGCACCGCTTCTGCGATGCTCTTTCGACTCCCTCTTCTCAGGCCCCGATTTCTTCGGGCACTTGTCCTTCTTTCCCGCGGGTTTCAAAGACCTGCACAGATCCTCATATTTTCGCCTTGGAGCCATCACCTTTTTTTCCCACATGCATCAAAGTGGAATAAGAACCACAAGTGC